AAAGTGTTGTTTTACAAAGATTCTGAAGTTCTCTCCCTTTAAATTCAGCTTTAAATTCCCTTTAAAGAGGTGCATGCCTATAATCCCAGTGACTTGGGAGGCTTAGGCAGGAAGATCCGCTGAGCCCAGGAGTTTGAATCATGCCTGGGCAACATAGCAAGATCCCCATCTCTTAAAAAAGAAATAAATAAATTCCCTTCAAAGTCTACTTTTCATTTCACGTTTCACAAAACACTAGTACAATATGTCACTCTTTGACATAAGATTCATTGTCAAAGGTATATAGCATGATTTCATTAATTCAACTTTTAACTTACTTAATGAGATTATTTTATATCATTTTATTTAAACCACTTCAGATTCTAGGAAAAATGTGAAACAGGTATGGCTCTTTCTGGGTACCCTTCCACTTCTCTGGTGGGAGTCCTTTATTAGCAGCTCTACTTCCAGTCACTGGTTGTATTAGCTCTCGCTCTATCATTATCGCAATCATGGAGTACTTACCACCATTCAGGCACTGTTCTATGTGTTGCATCTCACCAATTCACTTAAATATACAATCAAGCCTATGAGCCAAGTGCTATTACTATACTTTTTATTTGACAAACAAAAAGTTGTATATATTTATCATGTACAACATGATGTTTGAAATATGTATACGTTGTGAGATGGCTAAATTGAGCTAATGATATATGCATTACCTCACATACTTACCCTTTTTTGTGGTGAGAATAAAATCTATTCTGTTAGCAATTTTCAAGAATATAATACATTGTTATTAGCTATAGTCATCATGTTGTACGATAGATTTATTAAACTTATTTCCCCTTTCTAACTGAAATTTTGTACCTTTTGACCAACATATCCCAATCCCTCCCTGGCTGCCCCTGGTAACCACCATTCTACTCTCTACTTCTATGAGTTCAACTTTTTTAGATTCCACATATAAACTAGATCATGTAGGATTTGTCTTTCTGTGCCTGACTTACTTTACTTAACATAATATCCTCCAGGTTCATCCACATTGTTGCAAATGACAGAATTTTCTTCTTTTTAAAGGCTGAAGAGTATTTTATTGTGTATATATACATTTTCTTATCCATTCCTCCTTTGATGGACACTTGGTTTAATTCCATACCTTGGCTATTATGAATAATGCTGCAGTGAACAACAGCAGATATATCTTCGACATACCGATTTCATTTCGTTTGGATATATACCAAGTAGTGGGAATACTGAATGATGTGATGGTTCTATTTTAAGTTTTTGAGGAGCCTCCATACTGTTTTACATAATGGATGTGCTAATTTACATTCTGACCAACAGCGTGCAAGGATAACCTTTTCTTCACATCCTCACCAACATTCATCTTTCATCTTTTTGATAAAAGCCATCCTAAAATGTATGAAGTAATATTTCATTGTGGTTTTAATTTGCACTTCTCTGATGATTAGTGATGCTGAGCATTTTTTCATATACCTGTTGGCCATTTGTATGTCTTCTCTTGAGAAATGTCTGTTCAGGCCCTTTGCCTATTTTTTAACCAGGTTATTTGTTTTCTTACTGAGTTGTTTGAGTTTCTTATACATTTTGGATATCAATCCCTTATCAGATATTTGGTTTGAAAATATTTTCCACCACTCTGTAGGTTGTCTCTTCACTCTGCTGATTGTTTCCTTGGCTGTGAAGAGGCTTTTTAGTTTGATGTAACTGGATTTGTCTATTTCACTTTTGTT